CAGTACAAGAAATATAACCGTGTAAGTCTCATTGGATTAAGTATCCGAGACACGTGGTGGTTTATTCCTATAACGTGGGATCCCCTAAATGGCATTCCCTTTCAATGGTTTATGCGTGATGCCAGTTTATTAAAGCAGTAAAATATGCAATTGAAAATGAAACATGACCTAAGGGACCCTTTATTTGCCAGGGTAGGCCTAAAATGATATGGCATTATTAATCTATATATGCAATATACCAAAATCTTTAAACGTGCAATAACCTATTTACAAGGGTAGGTTCTAAAAGGAGATCATGTCAGACCTCTTATTTCCCAACGTTTGTGAATGCAAAAGACAAGAAACAAAGAAAGTTAGTTCAACACATAACACGTTGTGGCAATCAAGTAATAAATATAGAAAGCAGAAATAAGGAAAGAGGGTTGGAATCCCTCCCCTCGTGCCTAGTGTCCTTAATTCAGGATAAGGTCGACTCTATCCTAGGCAATTCTAATATGGATGCGTGAGGTTTGGCTCACTAATGCATCTAGACTCAATAAGGCTTCGGCTCCCAAGCCTTCAGACCTTAAGGCGAAGGGTCATCACTCCCAGGGCCTTTGATCGGTGGCTCGAGTGATCCCTTAGGTAGCGCTATGGGCGCAGAGCACACCATCCGCCTACCCAAGGCAATCGATCCTAATCCTACAAGGAGGTGTGGGAAACGCCCACGAAAAAAAGAAAAAAGTAGGGTAAATAAACTATGCATGCACGTATGAGGTGCTTTCTTATTGAGGGGAGGGATTGTACCATACATGCGGACGGAGGTTCTAGGGTGACTACCTCCCATCCCAAAATGCAATCGCGAAACAAGTAAAAGTAAATAAATAAATGATCCATCCATTCATCACATACATAGTGTGTGAAGAACGATTAGTCGCGTGGTGGATGCAAAATCCCTAAAAAGAGAAAAAGGGCAAAAAGGGAAAGAGGAATGCAATCCTAAACATCCAAATGTAATAGATAAGAAGGTTAAAAGAAGAAAACAATCGACTAAATCAAATGCTCGGACTCTCTAAGTCCCCAGTGGAGTCGCCAGCTGTCGCACCCCATTTTTTTTTACAAGAAAAATAAATAAATAAATGGTTTAAAGAGTGAATTTTTTGATTGAAAATGTGATTTTTGATTTACAAAGAAAGTGGGTCTAAATGGGACTTGAAAATGCGACGATTTGACCCAAAATATAGTTTAAAAAGGGTTTTTGAAATAAAAATCGGAGTCGCCACTTGGTATAGAGTTAAGGTGTACCAAGTCACCTAAAATGAATTTTTTAAAGGAAAAAGGTAGAAAGAAACCCCTTTTAAACGACTCCTAGTCTACATAAACCAACGAAAAAGGTTCGGGAGTCACATTTGACGAAGGGGAAGGCAAGGATAAAAATCCAAGGCACCCCTTCGACCTAGCCAAGGCTAGTTGCGCGATTTAGTCAAAGATTTTCTTGTTTTAACCAAAGCATTTATCACATTTGGATGCACTATATGAATGCAAGACCTAGACCTAGGGGGACATCGGGGGGCAAAATTTCTCTTCAAAGCTTGAGTGGTGCCAATCACATTAGTTGTGATGCCCAATAATGACTCTTTGGAGAGGTCACGAATGATGCAAAAATATGAGACTCTAAGAAGAGGAAAAGAATAAAATAATTATAGAAATATACATGTCTTAAAGGAATGCATCATGTCGGGTACGGGGGACTAATGTTCGTGACTCAATTTTCCCTTTTAATAGAGGGAATACGAGCGTGCTAAGGCTAGAAAAGCCAAACTCGTCCATATCCCATATCCAAGGGGTTATTCCCTAATCTAATCAAGCAAATGCACTACCCTAATCCTATTTCTAGAATGAAATGCAATTCTAATGTCATGTATCATACATAGGGGTATATATATAGGAAAATTAGGGATAAGGGTTATACGTATAAAGGGAATATCATACAAAATGATAAAAGGCCCTAAAAAGTGAAAATATGCATGAAATGAAGTGTTTTTATCATGCAATCATGATCTAACGCGCAAAGGGCTTCTAATGGTCTAGCGTTGGACTAGTCCTTCACTAACTCTCTCTCACAAGCATTGGACTTGCAAGAGCTCGAGGGGACAATCATGACTAGCATTGGACTAGCCACGATTACGTGCATTCGCATCCATCATACACATATATAAGTAATGTGCATAATTAAAGCAAGTAGACATGTGAGCACGTAATTCACATAACACATAAGCATGCATATCTAGATGCCAAAACCTAAGAAAGCGATTAAACACATAGCACATAGACATGCAAAACACACAAGGCAATTAAGGCCCTAACTATTACATTTTTTGGGGGAAGGCCTACTACAATCTAAAAGGGGAAATAGAAGGAATAAAACAATTAAATCCCTAACTATTACAATTTTGGCATTCGAGTGCCTCCCAAATGACGAAATTGAACTAAAATTAAAGCAAAACTAAGCAACTAAAGAAATAAATAAGGTAAAAATGAAATAAACAGTTAAAGTCATGCAATTGCACACATAAGACACATATATGCACGTAGGGTCAAATAAAGTCAAGAAATGAAGGATAGAGTGTACCTCCCTCGCAATGGTAATCAAAGGAAGGAAAAAATGGCTTCAAAACAATAAAAGGGTCAAGGTACCACTTTAATTAAGAAAAATTAAAAGAAATGTGCAAATACAAAGCTCACTTGATCATGAAGCCCCTAAAGTCATGACTTAAGTGCAATTGAAACATAGCATAGTAGTTAATTGAAGCAAACAAGCAATGAAGTTGTAAAATTAAGACTACCAAGGACCAAATTGAGGAGATTATTCAATTGATTGGGTCATAGCAGCATTAGTTGGAAGCCAAGGGGTCAAAGTGAAATTATTGAAAGATTTCCATGCAAATGCCATGCAAATGCTACGAGGAAGGCAACAGAAAGGAATGCTTGCTGCAATTTTCAACTTTCAAACGCAAATTTCAATCCACATGCACAATTTTGATCTAAACTTTACCCGCCAAACATCAAAACTCTAAACTAAACAACCGAGTATAGAACTTTAACATCTAAACAAGCGAAACATAGAAGGAAACTCATGCAAAAAGACACAAAGAAGCTCATGCATTCTGTAAAATTCCAGCCACAAAAAATGCAAACCCAACACCCCTTATCTAATTCCTCTTTCCAACATAAGGTCAACCAAGCAAACTGGATGGCCGAAACTTTGGTGAGCAAGTGCAGGTAAGAAAACAGCAAAGAGAATGCGAGAGCTTTCTTCTTTTTTTTTTTCTGTTCTGCAGCAAATTTTACAGCTTCAACTTATTGTCATTTAACATCCCCAAGCATAATCATCTAACCCCCATAAGCTGATTGAAACAGCAGGGCATGAAATGCAGCGAAAGAGAAGGTGAAACTTACGGCACTCTAAGGAAAAGAAAAAGGGGCTGCGCACGCTGCTGCAACAAGACCAAGAGCTTCAAGCGTGGCTTGTTGCAGCAGGTTTGTATGCGCAAATTTAAGCGCAATGCAAACTGAATCCAGGCAACAGGATTATCAAACATTGCTCCTATTTTTCGACATAAAACTTTTGGATTTGAAACACAGAATTCAGGAAGAGAAAGCGTGCAAAACTGAAAATGAGATTTATGCAATTCTCGGTTTCTTGATCAAACACAGAAAAATCAGCGTTATCCATTTTGTTGGAAGCCAAGTAATTTAAGCGCCTAATCCAATCATTCTAATGAGGTTGAAGACTGAATCTAAACACAAACCAAAGGCATGCAGCTTCAGTTTGGTTCAAGCACAGCAAAAATGCAGGAGGAATAAAATAGGAAGCGCCAAAGCTATAAGTTCTTTCCTAGCTTCTGGTTGACCGAAACCTTTTGCAAAGAAAAATCACCCTCCAAACACTGCAAACTTACTCATTATCACACATTGGACCCAAAAATGAAAAGAAAAATTGCGGCAACAAAACCGACAACTTCAAGCTTACTGCAGCAAACATTATATACAAAGCTCTGCCCAAGAAAATCTAAACCCCAGCAAGAAGGATTACCAAACATTCTAATGGCCATCAAACCGAGAGTTCAAGTAAAGAAACAAAAAGACAGACTAAGAGGTCATGCGAAGTCTGTAAAATTTTGCAACTCTTCTATGTCTACTCTATTAGATTCACAAACCGCACAAACCCATCTCCAGTCTAACAAAGTCATGCAATCATACAAACCAATGCTAAACAAAACCAGTAAGCAGCAACAAGAGGCAAAACTGCGAAGCTTTGCTATGTTTTCAACCTCGGCAAACATCACTCAAGTCAAGCAAGCATAACAGTCCCACTGTGAATCATAAACCCAAATCCAAACTTAAGCCAGAACTACGGAAATGAAAATGAGAGACAACAAGGGACAACCGAACCAGCAGATAGCGAAAGGGTGCAAACCAGCAATTAAAGAAAACAGTCTCTAATTCTAAGAGATCAAGGATATTACCTTAATCACAGAATGAGTCGGGGAATGACCAAGAAAGGATTCGGATGATTCTGCCAGGCCTTCAAAGGATGTCAATAGGAGAACAGTGATGATAACGCAGCACCGTCCTTGCAACCCCAAAGCTCCTTTCTTCCTCCCTCTGCCGCCACTGGAATCCTCCCCTTGCTCTTTTCTTTTCCTCTATTTTTTCTTCTTTTTTCTTTTCAGACCTCCACGAAGCTTCCCCTCTGTTTTCCTTTGCAGCCGCCAATTCTTTTTCCCTCCTTTCACTCTCCCCGCTGCCCTCTCTCTCTCTGTTTTTTATCTCCTGGTCGAAAGCTTCTCCTTTTCTACGCTCCTCTACATTCCCTCAGATTTTTCAGCCGTCATTTTCATTCTCCCTTACTCTCATTCAGCCGTCATCCAAAAACGCCTCTATTTCTAAACCCTTAGCTTTGCTTTTATATCCCATCCAAACCCCTTAAACCTCATCTCAATGGTTCAGAAGCAGCTTCAAGTCTCCGTTCCCCTCTCAGCCATCGGATTAGCTTCCATTTCTAGATTGCTCTGGGCTTGTAGATGAAAGCCAAGTGTAACAGTACTGTGATGATCTAACAGAGCCCAAAAAATTGAGAAAAAATGGAAGAAAACTGGAAGAAAAACAAAACAGGGCTGCGCTATTTTTGCTGCCTCGTACGAAACTGGAACGGAATGCAGCGCGCGTGGCTTTTTTTTTTTAATCACTTAATTAAATAATAATACAAAAATAGTTTAAACAAAATCTTAAATAAATGTACAAAACTAATTAACAAAAGATAAAACGAAAACCTAAGATTTTTCCTCTCTTTTCCTCTTTTTTTTTCGATTAATAAACAGTAAAAGGAAATAAAACATATTTTTATAAAAAATTTTCTCTTTTTGACAAATTTTATGCTAAAAAAATCCTATAATAAAAAATAAATAGCTAAAGGGTGAAAACGAATGCAAAAATAAAACTAAAATAAAATAAAGGACAATAATAATCTAGAAATACTAAAAGTGCAAAACTAAAAATCATGAAATTAAAGAAAAATAAAAATAGATAAGAATTATTACTAAAACTAAAAATAAAAAATTAGGATAACAATTATTTAAAAATTTGGTGTCTACACTAACCCCTAATTATCTCATAACACCATGTAATATAATCCATGTATACAAAGCTTCTCCAAATGAACCACATTTACCACACTTATCGCACTAGTGGGTCCCACATCCACTGTACACTTCTAAAATCTCATGAACTAACTTATACTAGAAAAATGATTTAAAAACTATATTTACTCATAAAAATTTCCAGAATATTCATATAAGAAAGAAGATACGGAAATTATACGCAAAAGACTAAAATAAATGCCTAGAAAATAGGAAAATTTCGGGCTCTCACACTCTCTTCCCCTTAAAAGAATTTCGTCCTCGAAATTTCTCACCTGAATTGTTAAATAGCTCAGGGTATTTTTTTTTCATATCGTCTTCCATCTCCCAAGTCGCCTCTTCGACTCCATGGTTCTTCCACAGGATTTTCACCAAAGGAATTTGTTTACTCCTCAGCTCCTTCACTTTTCGATCTAGCACACGTACAGGTCTCTCATCGTAGGTATGGGCTTCGTCTATCTCAATCTCCTCTGGTTGTACAATATGTGTCGGGTTAGGGTAATATTTCTTGAGCATTGACACATGGAAGACATCGTGTATTCGGGACAAACTCAGCGGTAACTCAAGCCGGTATGCAACTTTCCCAACTCGTTGGAGTATCGTGTAAGGTCCTACAAATCTTGGTTGAAGTTTCTTTCCTCTACCCATCGTAACACTTCGCAGGGGTATAATTTTAAGGAAAACACGATCTCCAACTTCAAACTCCAAATCTTTTCTTCGGTTGTCCGCGTAGCTCTTTTGGCGACTCTGAGCAGTTTGGAGTCTCTGACGGATTAACTTGACCTTTTCTTGGGCATCCTCCATCCATGGGATAACTGTTGGGTCCAAGACCTTATTTTCTCCTACCTCATTCCAGTATAACGCAGATTGACACTTTCGTCCATAAAGAGCCTCATACGGTGCCATTTGAATCGATGAATGGTAACTGTTGTTGTAGGCGAATTCCACTAATGTCATATGTTGGCCCCAACTACCTCCGAAGTCTAAAACACACGTTCTTAACATATCTTCAAGTGTCTGAATCGTTCGCTCCGACTGCCCATCCGTTTGAGGGTGATAAGTGGTACTTAGGTTCAGTTTAGTTCCCAAGGTCTCCTGAAACTTTTGCCAAAACTTTGACACAAAACGAGGGTCTCGGTCGGAAACTATACTTACAGGGACCCCATGTAATCTCACAATCTCCTCCATATACACCCGAGCCAATTTATCCATGGAATACTTCATATTTATAGGTACGAAATGAGCCGATTTGGTTAACCGATCGACGATCACCCAAACGGCATCATGCCCTTTTTGGGTTCTAGGCAATCCGGAAACGAAGTCCATGGTAATGTTCTCCCATTTCCATTCAGGTATCTCAAGAGGTTGTAGTAATCCAGAAGGTTTTGGTGTTCGGCCTTAACCTGCTGGCAGACTAGACAGGTTTGTACATATTGAGCAATCCCCCTCTTCATTTTATCCCACCAGTATAACCGTCGTAAATCCTGATACATTTTAGTACTACCCGGATGGATGGTGTATTTCGATCGATGGGTTTCATCCAGAATCTCTCTCCTAAAATTCTCATCCTCAGGCACTACAATGCGATTTCTAAATCTCAAAATTCCCTCAGGACTTAGAGTAAACTCAGGAATTTCTCCTTTCTTCACTTTTTCCACCCACTTCTGAACCATTGGATCTGTAGTTTGGGCCTCCTTGATTCTATCCAATAGGGCGGATGTCACCCGGATATTTCCAAAGGTGATCTTCTTACCTTCCATTTTAGGGTTGCATTCACCAATAGCTTCTAACATTTCCCACTCCTTAACTATTAACCCAGATATTCGAGCCTTCCTGCATAAGGCATCAGCTACTACGTTAGCCTTACCCGGATGGTAGTTGATCGTGCAGTTATAATCTTCTAAGAATTCCATCCAACGACGTTGTCTCATATTCAACTTCTTTTGAGAAAAGAGGTACTTAAGGCTCTTGTGATCGGAATAAACTTCAAAGGTTACCCCATACAGGTAGTGTCTCCACTTTTTCAGAGCAAAGACAACTGCGGCTAACTCCAAATCATGATTGGGATAGTTTTGCTCGTGGGTCTTCAATTTCCTAGAGGCAAAGGCTATCACGTTCTTATTTTGCATCAATACACACCCTAAGCCTTCCTTCGAAGCATCAGTATACACAGTGAAACTGTCCTTACCGTTAGGTAAGACTAGAACAGGAGCCATAGTTAACATTTTCTTCAACTCCTGAAAGCTCTGCTCACATCGGGCATCCCACAGAAACCGGTTACTTTTCTTTGTCAAATTGGTTAAAGGACTGGCAAGTTTTGAGAAATCCTTAACAAATCGCCGATAGTAACCTGCCAACCCTAATAAGTTTCGAATCTCAGTCGGACTCTCAAATCTCTTCCACTCGGTCACTGCCTCTACCTTCGCCGGATCTACTGCAATCCCCTCCTTCGAAATTACATGACCTAAGAAGGAAACCTTCTCCAGCCAAAACTCACACTTACTAAATTTGGCATATAATTGGTGATCCCTTAGGGTTTACAAGACTAATTTCAGGTGTTGCACATGCTCCTCCTGGATTTTCGAGTAGACCAAAATGTCATCGATAAACACAACGACAAATTGGTCTAGGTAGGGTTTGAAAACTCGATGCATCAAGTCCATAAAAGCGGCAGGGGCATTGGTTAGTCCAAAGGGCATCACGGCAAATTCGAAATGCCCATACTGAGAATTGAAGGCAGTTTTAGGCACATCTTCTTTTCGGATCAATAATTGGTAGTACCCCTGTCGAAGGTCCAGTTTTCAAAAGACCACTGCACCTTGCAACTGGACAAACAGCTCATCAATGTGGTTATTCTTAACGGTTACGTTGTTCAACCCTCGGTAATCGATACATAATCTCAAGGTCCCGTCCTTCTTTTTAACAAAGAGAACGGGTGTTCCCCAAGGAGATCCACTCTCACGGATAAAACCCCGCTCCAAAAGGTCTTGCAACTGCAACTTCAACTCCTTAAGTTCAGCAGGTGCCATGTGGTATGGGGTCTTAGAGATAGGTGAAGTCCCTGGTAACAAGTTAATCTCAAATTCTATCTCTCTTTGCGACGGTAGATTCACTAACTCATCGGGAAACATGTCCGAATATTCGCCCACTACTGGAACATCTTCTACGTTTAACTTATCAGTGGGAGTGTTGATGAGAAAGGCTAAGAACCCTTGTGCCCCTCTACTCAATAGTTTCCTAGCCCGAATACCTGAAATCATTGCAGATGAGGCTAAACTGGCCCTCACATCTAACTTTAAGGTCGCCTTCCCCGGTATATGAAATTCTACTACTTTCTTTTTACAGTCAAGTTGGGCATCATACCTAGCTAACCAGTCCATGCCTAATATCACGTCGTACCCTTTAATAGCCAAACTTATCAAATTCCCCAGTAACTTCCTCTCTCCTACCCAGATTTCACAGTTTACATACATTTTGCTAGTAACCAAACACTGTTCTCCCGTAGGCGTACTCACTTCTAGTTCATAGGGCAGGTTTACAGGGGTTATATCAATACCACACATGAATTCAGGGTTAACAAAGGAATGGGTGGCACCAGGGTCTATTAAAATCCTAGCTAGACGGTGGAAGACAGGAATCGTACCTTCCACCACCTCCGCCGAATCAGGGACAGGACGTTGCTCGATAGAGTACACTCGGGCAGGCACCTTCGGTTTCGTCACTTCCACCTTTGATTGTGCTGAAGTCGCCTTAGAAGATTGTGTGGTCCCTCTTGCCTCTCGGGGTTGAACTGGACAGCTGGCTATCTGGTGCTCCGCACTCCCACGGCATAAGCACTTCTTTTCCTTTCTCTAGCAATTATCCTCCGTGTGGTTCGACTTCCCACAGAACCCACACGGGCCACGAGAAACGCTGGCGGAGCTCCCTTGTGAGGCACTCCTCTGTTGGCCTCGTCCCGTCTGGCCACCTCTTGGCGGAGTCCCTCTTGCCATACCCGAAAATCGTCCTCCTCCAGCTCCCCGGCCAAATTTAAGAGGGGTACTCTTATCCGCCTGAGTAGAACTACCTCCAGAAAATCCACGTTTTCTAACTTGGAAATTCCAAACTTGAAGCCTTGCGTTCTCGGCTCGCAAAGCCTTATCCACCACATCACTGAAAGTGTTAATCTGGGTCACTGCTAAATCCTTTTGGATTTCCACATTTAGCCCCTGAATGAAACGTCGTACCCTTCTTTGTTCAGTCATAATAAGTTCAGGGGCAAACTTGGCTAATCGGGTAAACTGGCTTTCGTATTCAGCCACGGATTGGGTGCCCTGGCGAAGTCGGATGAACTCGTCCTCCTTCTTTTCTTGGATCAAGGGTGGAAAGTACTTGGCATTAAATTCTCTTACAAAGTTCACCCACGTTCTGGGTGTCTGCTCTCTCTCCCACTTGGTTCTGTGAGAACCCGTAAATTTTCGTATTTTCTAGGGTTTTATTTTATTTAATTACACGCCTTTTATGCAATTTCTTTATTAGGAAAAAAAATTTTCTAAATAAGTTTATGAGTAAATAGGGTTTTTAAAAGTATTTTTCTAGTATAAGTTAGTTCATGAGCTTTTAAGAGTATATACCGGATGTGGGACCCACTAGTGCGGTAAGTTCGATAAAATTCGGCCAATTATGTTAAGTTTTGCATTAAGAGATTCATTTACTATGTGTTAGGAGATAATTAGAGGTTAGTTAGATTAATTTGTAAGGAGAGACAAAAGGATGAGATCAAGCATAGGAATGGACAAGTGTCAAGTAACTATTGGAGGATGACTTTGACCTACTATTCATCACCTTTACTAAATACCAAAAATTGACCAAAATTATCTTCATTCTTCATGCTTCTTGGCCGGCTATTGAGGAAGAAAAAAAGAGAGGAAAAACCTTCATCTTGTCTTGCCAATCCAAGCCAAATCTTGAGTTCCAATCTTTAATACATCAAAGTACTCCATAAAAACTTCTTGCTAGGGAGGATTTAAGAGGTTGGTGGTGTTGTTTTTGAAAGGGAAACATCAAGCTATCATTTTTATTGGGGTTTTAAGGTATGTTACCAAGAAATTTCTTCTTACTTCAATTAATTGTTAGGGCATGGTTTAGAGTTGTGAGTTATGTAGATTTATAGAAAAATTTCATGAAGGAAGTGGTGTTATGGAAAATTTCAGTTTCTTGGTGAATTTTCTGCCCTAAGATGAAGATTTATGATTAGTTATGGTTTGATAGCTTTGATATGTGAAATAGCTAGTGTTTAGATGCTAGTTTACTTTGCCTAAAGAAATTTCTGGTTTGTAAGCATAAATTCCAGCTTGGATGATAACCTGCCCTGCTTCTGTCCGGTTCTATTTCACCATGTTAGAGGCCGAACTAGCCTTAGTACAAAACATGAAAGTTGTATAGCATGATGTTTTATAGTTTCCTACAAAATTTCAGCCCAATTGGAGCAATGTAACCTGTGAAAAGACTGAAATACCCCTGCTGCCCTGTTTCTGTCTGAAACTGATAATCAGCTTTGGTAATTGGTTAGGTTGACTGGGAATACTACTGATTTAGTTGTTGATGTCTTCTTAAAATTTATAGCTTGGTATCTTATCATTCAAATGGCTTTGGAATCACTTGAATTG